TCAAAGAGAGGAACATTATTCATAATGTGTTATTGGCTCAAGATCTGGAAACACTATATCAGGCGGCAAATTAGTCCAAAATGTGTGATGTAAATTGATCTAAGAAAGCATATGAGTCTCCTAATTGGAATTTTTACAAGATATAATGATAGGTTGTGGATTCCCTCATAGATATGTTGATTGGGTTATGATTTGTGTGAGGGGCGCATTATTCTGTTATGGTGAATGAAGAATTGTGTGGATACTTTGCTGGAAATAAGGGCATCAAGCAAGGTAAACCTATCTCACCATACCTCTTCACTTTAGCCATGAACTACTTATCAAGTTCTTTAAATGTGTTCAAGGACAACCCTACATTCAAATTTCATCCTATGCAAATCCCTTAAGCTTTCCTACTTATCATATATTAATAACCTATTGATGTTCGGTAAGGGAGATGTACAATCTACGTCTTCACTGATGGAATGCTTTCAAAAATTATCTAATGCTTCATGTTTGGAAGCTAATCTCAACAAAAGGCAAATATACTTTAGTGGTGTCTCGCATAGTGAAAGGCAGAATATATTGCAGCAATGTAAACTTTCGGAAGGAGATCTCCTATTCAAATACCTGGTATTCCTCTAGCCTCAAAATCCCCTTCATAAAATGATTGTTTACTTCTGATTGAGATGCTTACAAAAAGGGGAAATAATTAATGCATTAAATTTCTTTCTTATACTAGGTCACTCCTTATTAGATCTGTGTTAGTGAGTCTGCACAACTATTGGTCTTCAATTTTCATTTTGCCAAAAAAGTTAACAAAAAAGTGGAGAGCATATATAGAGATTTTCTTTGGAGAGGCAATGATAATAAGTTCAAAATGTCTTTGATGACTTGGAAGAACATTTGCGAATCTTGAGAGCAAGGAGGCTTGGGATATCATGATATTCAAGTGACCAATAATGCTCTAATGTTGAAACATCTATGGGGGTTAGCTTTGAAATATGATAATATTTGCATGAAATGGATCCATGAGATCTATTTAAAAGACAAAAATTTGTGGACTATCTCTACTAGTCCTGCTCACTCCTGGGGTTTAGGAGAACTTTAGAGCTAAGGCATCATGCTCACTTTATCGTAGATATTATAGGAAATGATATTATATGGAGAGGTCGTTTGCCTGCATACAGTGCTAAAGTTGCTTATCAGTCTTTATATGATTCCAGTCCTAAAGTTGGGTGGAGGAAATTGGTATGGAGCAGGATGAATTTATCTCACTACTCCTTTATTATATGGCTGATATGGCATGGTAAACTCTTAACTAGAGAGCATTTGAGAAGGAGAGGAGTTCATACTGACACTATTTACCCTCTATGCAAAGCCCAGGAGGAAACTGTAGAGTATTTATTCTTTTCTTGAGGTATCAGCAGGAGGCTATGGAAGTTAGTTACTGATTTTTTCATAGAAATGGTGTTCCTACTGTATGCTCTCATATTGTTACATGGGCTATAAGGGAATGGGGAGGTAAAGGAATTATATGCAAACTCACAAGAGTTTCTTTTGCTGCTAGTATTTACTTCGTGTGCAATGTGAGAAATAGGGTAATTTTTTTAGAATATTCAACCTGATGCACTAAAAAAAATTTAAACAGGTTGCGTTCTTCTTAAAAGTTCAACTCGAAAGAGTTGATAAGATGAGAGATACTCCTCATGATAGGAGATGGTGTGAGCAGTTTAGAATTTTTCACTCTCCTTTGAGCTCTCCTGAAGTTGGTGTTGATCCCAATGTTTGAGGTCACAAGTCCTGTTATTGAGTGTTGATTTTTGAGCTATTTCACTTGAGCTTGTATAGTCTTTTTTTCTAGTTTATTTATAAATGGTAGGCGGTGTGAGCAGTTTAGAATTTTTCACTTTCCTTTGAGCTCTCCTGAAGTTGGTGTTGATCCCAATGTTTGAGGTCACAAGTCCTGTTATTGAGTGTTGATTTTTGAGCTATTTCACTTGAGCTTGTATAGTCTTTTTTTCTAGTTTATTTATAAATGGTAGGCGGTGTACCTTCATCTCCTTTGTGCATAGATAGAGTTTGTACTTCATTACATCAACTCCGTACTAGAAAGCTAACATTTCTTGCCAAAAGCAAAATAACAAAAAACACCTATGTTAATTATCATCAATTTCATTTATCGTGCCTCCTTTAGCATGAAACAAATCAATGTGTGTGAATTAAAATTATATCTTCATGTTTGATATCTAGATATACGATAATAAGCAATAACTATGAAAGAATGAAAGCACAAATTAGTAAAAAAAAGATATACGTGTTTTATGTGAATAAGAGACTTATTTGCAAGCATTTGGATTGTAGGCATACTTAATATTTCATTGCTAACTAAACGGATTATTCGTTTCTGATTTCAGTGAGGGCAAGAGTTAAACACTACAAATACGTCATAAGTTAATCCATCAGCTCATTATTAATTAATATGATTGCATGTTGTTGAATAGGGTATGATATACATAAATTTACAATGGCTATCGCACTAGAACCATTGAAAACCATGGACCTCTTGCTTTTGTCATTGGTGGACTCTTTCCGCTCTTTCCATATGAAGCCTTCATGAAACTTGCTTAACCTTCATTTGAATTTTATAGATTCTAAGACCTTCATGGGTTCGAATAAAATATCTGGCTTGTAATTGCTTGATGGCTACTTCTATTTAGTAACTAAAAAGTAGATGGTAAGACAAACCTCAACCACACACACCCTCTCTCAGCCCACCCCAAGCCTACCAAAAAAGTGCCTTCAAACCAAGTAGAAATTGACCATAAAGGAGAAGTTGGTAGCTCAATTACTATATTGAAATAGGTTTTTTTTTTCATTCTCTTTTGCCTCATAGGTCCACTGCTAATTTAGTGCTCGATTAGTTATTGGAATTTGAAAACAGTTATTTAACACTGTTAAAATTCTGACGTTCATTGTCTCTTTGAAAATTTGGATTTATTTGTTGGGTTGCACAGACAATTATTAGATATTTCTGTTTTTAAGCAAATCATATATGTTTGCATTGGGGGTGTTGGGACAAGGAATTGCAAACAATATTTATTCATTGCATTTTTTTGTAGGGATTGATCACATGAATACGTAGGATTTTGTTATGATTATGAGCACAAAACCTCTTCCCACGTTACACTCCACACAAAAATTTAAATACTAGCTCCAAATTGGGGGGAGGGGTTGGGCTCATCAGTTGAGGGATTGAAGAACTAAACAGTGAAGGGGGTGGGGGCTAAAATTCGGTCATGGTACGGAACCCCTGACTTCTACCTTTTACACCATCAAGTTCCCTATCTCGACAAAACTGAGAATGAGAAGTTAATAGGTTATACTAAGAATGAGAAGTTAATAGGTTATAGTTCAAAATTTTCACAAACTATCCCGTTTTCCCCCAAAAAATTCATTTTTCAAGGTCTACTGTTTGGATTTCTCTAGCGACAGAGATAGAAAAGTAGAGTGGTGGATGTATTGTTTGAGAAGAGAGAGACGAAATGAGAGAAACTATTGTTTGAGTTGCATGTGTGAAAGAACCAAATTTAGGCCTTATTTGCAGCATATGTTCAATTTGAGAATTCTTGCAAGATTGAGATTCTCAAACCCATCAATGCATGTGTTGGGTCTTGACCACTGAAATGCTTACCAGTTTGTTTTACAAAAATTTACATGACATTGAATGTATTGATTTGTTAACGACATCATCAAAATTAGTAGCCTAACGATGGAAACAAGACTGGACTTTAGTTACCCCTTGACACATCACACATGTAAACAATTTGTCTCTGTTCTTCCCTCTCCTACCATAACGAGAGTAGCCATTCTCTCATCTCTCTTTAGTTACCGGTAGAGAAAGATTAAATTTTAGATCTCCAAAAAGGCATGGGAATAACTGTTTTTCAAATGAAGCTAATCTATGGAATGATCTGAATTACAAACACTTTCCATCTTTATTCTTTGTCATGTAATATGAGAAGATTGTATATAATGTACGTTGGAGAAGTTAGGTTTGTTACAATGATAAACTTTTCGGCGCCTACTCCTTCAGATCAGTTGTCCAGTCCCACCACCATGACACAAGTAGCCATTGTATTTCTTAATATGGAGTACGGCAGCAGAAAGAGCTCCCATAAGCATTCCTTGCAATAAACAAGGAATCACAACGAATCGAGATTCCTTGTATTTCCTCCTTCTTGACATCCTCAACGAAAACAAACAGCAATTTACAAGGACTCGTGATGCACATCTTACATCTCTCCTTGCATTCAAACGAAGGAATCATCTTATCAAAGAGACAGGTGATCCTTGGAATCCGACATCATCGGAAATCTAGCAACCAAAGAGTCCATTAATCGAATTGGCTAACAATATTAATAAGGTTTTCCATTGAACCGATATTGCGCGATACCAACAAAATTACTGCAAAACAAACAGGGAAAAGCCCTTTTCCCAACAAAAAACCACTCCACAGTGCATTTGTCGGATCAAGGAATCCCAACTCCTTGAGAATTCTTGGAAAGAAACAAGCTCTTAACAACCTTATAAAGGCTGTCCAACTTGTTCATCATTCTTCCATTATTCATTCATACTATATCATTAATAATCATGAGCTCAACATATCTATTTCGGGTCTATATTTTGCTAATATAGTTTAATCAATGAAAACACAAAATGGGAGTTCTCCAAATACATCGAAATTTTGTTAAAATTGACAGTGATCCAAATTTCCAAATATCAAATCATAATTATCAAGTCAGATCCTTTTACTAATTAAAAATAATCTAAGCACTTCATTAAAAAAACAGAATTCAACAAAAAACTAAGAATTCAACTTCATATCAAATAAATATTGCCTTGTAAAGATAATTAAAAAAAACCCTAATTGGTCGAGCGTCAGCATAAAAAAGTAGATGGGAAACAAAAGATTCAATCTTTGAAATCGAGAACACAGTAGAAGATGAATAAAGAATTACCTGTTGTAAAAGATTAGAGAGAAGCTGGAAGAGCTGCGCGTCTGGCTTCCCTCCTTCCGCCATTTTTTTTCTTGCCTTTTTTCTTCGTCTTTTATTTTCTTTTTCGGAAAAAAATAGAGAAAAAGAGGGCAAAAAATAAAAAAAAGTAAAAGTAAAAGTAACGAGGAAACCGTTGCCTACGGTTTCGAGTTTAGATCTTGGGCTGTTTACAAAGTTTGCTTCATGAAATTGCTTGCTGTCAGTTTATTTAAACTAACATCTAATTGGAACAGCCCAAAATTGGATGCCGTCTGGATATCAGATGGATGATTATGGTTGGGTCTTGGTTGGGTCATAAATCGGTAGGCACATTTATGACCAATTGATCATTTATAACCCATTTAGCATTTGCTAAATGAGTGAGTTGCTTCTCATCCACCAATTTACTAAGGGGCTATTTGGTGGTTGTTGGTAAAGTTTTGTATTTATAACATAACTTGGAAAGTTGTTGTCCACTTCATCAATTTCACTTTTATATTTTTCTTTGTTTGTTTTTTTATTTCATTGGAATCATAAAAGTATTATTTGGTTTGCAAATGTAACTTTAATTGTTTGTTTGGAAAGTGTAAAAAGTGGTCACTACTCAAATGATCATATTGGTTGGAATTATTTTTTATTATTTTTTCATGACTTCAATGTTAGCTTTCTCCTAAAATCATGTTTTTTTTATGAAATCACTTTACAAGCCACATCAGCATATAAAATCACGGGAAAAATGTGTCCAGGCCCCAAAAACAAAAACTTCATGTGACAAAGCCCCTCATATTTTCCCCCATGTGGATCAGCCCCTTGAAGTGTGACACTTTGTACTGCAGCCCCTTTTAATTAATTATCACATGCCAGCTAAAGTAAAATTCCCAAACTATCCTTATCCTCTCTCCTCTCTGACCCAGCACTCACATCATCTCTCTCTCATCTCTCCTCTCTCTCTCTCATCTCCTCTCTCTTTCTCTCTCTCTCTCTCTCTCTCTCACCTCTCTCTAAAACTAAGAGCTTTATTAAGCTCGTCGTCCTGGCCGAGACGCACAGAGCATTAATCTATTAGCTAGAAGAAGAAAAGAAATAAAAGAAAAAAAGAAAAAAAGAAAAAAAGAAAGGTAAGGAGAAGTAGAGTAGAAGGGGAATGAAGAGAAATATCGTAATTAAGAAATAACGAAAATGTGCATTAATGTATCTCTATGAATGAAATTGCCACGGTGCCGCCAAGCGATATTCGAAACAATATAACGAGAGGTAGAAAATGAGCCCAAATGAAAGAAAGATACCGTGTGATAGACAATATAAAGGGCTATACACCGGCGCAGACGGTAGTGAAAACGAAGACCAGAGGTGGCCGTAAAACACGCACGAAGTCGGCATAGAACTGGTGGAATACAAGTTAGAACTGGTGGGATGTGGGCTAGAACTAACGTGGAACCCAGAATTAACAACTTAGCATGAAAAAAACAAGGGCTTTGATTAGAACTAGCAAGATGTGGGCTAGAACTGGTGGGATACAAGTTAGAACTGGTGGGATACAAGTTAGAACTGGTAAGATGTGGGCTAGAACTATAGTTTTGTGCCAATTTCGCACGCACTTTCTGATCGTCTCCAATCTCCGTTTTCGCCGATTTCTTCTTTGGTGAGTAGCCCTACATGTTGCCTATCAGCTCCAATTTGTATCACGCTCTAACTCATTCTCTATATCTCTCGGTAACATCCGAAACATCGCTCGGCGGTAGCAGCGAGCAGAAAACAGCAGCGCCGTGCCGACTTCGCGCGTGTTTTACGGCCACCTCCAGTCTCCGTTTTCACTACCGTCTGCGCCGGTGTGTAGCCCTTTATATTGTCTATCACACGGTATCTTTCTTTCATTTGGGCTCATTTTCTACCTCTCGTTATATTGTTTCGAATATCGCTCGGCGGCACCATGGCAATTTCATTCATAGAGATACATTAATACACATTTTCGTTATTTCTTAATTACGATATTTCTCTTCATTCCCCTTCTACTCTACTTCTCCTTACCTTTCTTTTTTCTTTTTTTCTTTTTTTCTTTTTTTCTTTTCTTCTTCTAGCTAATAGATTAATGCTCTGTGCGTCTCGGCCAGGACGACGAGCTTAATAAAGCTCTTAGTTTTAGAGAGAGGTGAGAGAGAGAGAGAGAAAGAGAGAGGAGATGAGAGAGAAAGAGAGAGAGGAGAGATGAGAGAGAGATGATGTGAGTGCTGGGTCAGAGAGGAGAGAGGATAAGGATAGTTTGTGAATTTTACTTTAGCTGGCATGTGATAATTAATTAAAAGGGGCTGCAATACAAAGTATCACACTTCAAGGGGCTGATCCACATGGGAAAAAATATGAGGGGCTTTGTCACATGAAGTTTTTGCTTTTGGGGCCTGGACACATTTTTCCCTAAAATCACTTTACACTATTTTCACAACTACAAACAAACAATTGAAAGTGATAAAAACTGACATTGGGACCCACTTTTTTACACTTTCTATCATTTTACATGGTAAAAACATACAACCAAACAACCCCTAAATGGGTGGTTCATGGATGACCCAATAACTCATTTAGTTATGATGTTTTTATATATATGTAAGTTTCAGGGATCTACTTGTAAACTTTCAGGGGATTTTCTGTAAACTTTAAGGGGGGTTTTTGTAAACTTATAGTGAGTTTTTGGTAAACTTTCAGGTGGTTTTCTGCAAACTTTCAAGGGGGTTCTGCAAACTTTTAGGGGATTTTTTGTTAACTTGCAGGGGGGTTTTGGTAAACTTTCAGGTGGTTTCTGTAGACTTTTAGGGGGGTTTTGCAGACATTTTGGGGGTTTTCTGTAAACTTTTTAGGGGTTTTAAAACTGAGAAACATATACAAGAAATAAATGAAGAATTTGCTAATATAAAACACTTCATTCATGCCAAATAGAAAACTACTTATGATAAATGCACAAAAACCACAAAAGTTGAAACTTTAATGCATACATATATTATTCATGTTCATAGAAAACTTAATTGTATCCTCATTCTATAATCAATAAATCTCAGAAACAACTTGGTGGAATCACAAAACCAGAAGAACTCCCTTGTGCATTTCTACAAAAAGTTTGTGCCTTGGATTTCCCATAATACAGCTTTATGTTGTGCAACTTCATACCCATGCACGGATATTCCCTTGCTGCAATTAAGCTTCACTGCTACATGAATCACAACTGAAAATGAGCAAGATATGCGATACATAAATCACAACTGAAAATTTCTCAAACATTACTTTAAAATTAAGGTCATTTAATCGTAAAGTTAACGACTCACACCTCATATTGTAGGTTTTTAGATTAACAGTATTTCAAGAAAGTACATATGCCATGTTTTTTACTCATTGACAACACTGTTTCATATCAAAATTGCTGAGCAATCTGAACAACTCAGTGAGTTGGTTGAAACAACAAATACCTCATCAGTAAACTAAAGGTTCAAAAGAGGTCATAAGACTCATAACCCTAACAGAAAAACCTCAACTATAAAGTCCAGGACAAAAAAATCATTCAATAAGTTTTCTTAGACTCTGCAGGACTATCAGAAAACCACTACGGATACTTTTCTCAGCGGATACTTTTCTCATGAATCATACCTAAGAGGCTTTCAAAGCCTTCAGAGTTACAGTGAAGGATAAACAAGAACATTTAGAATGAAACAGATATAATTCCGTGATATTGACAGCATATAGAAATTAACATAAAGTTGATGAAAACTAATTATAGAGCTATATGACTATTAATATGAAACAAACATGGTTCATTTTCTAGGTAATATATGTATTCACATTATCAAGGTCCATGAGTTTCAAAATTTCAAAATGAATGTCACAGTTTCCCGAAATATAGTTCAGACTTGATGTTCTTTGGCGCAAAACAAAAAAAAAGAAAAAAGAAAAAAATTTGGTATCATATCATTATGAGGACAGTAAGCATCAATATAATAATTAAAATAAGAATGAAATAACAAAGTGATTTTCATAGTTGACAGTCAGATCTAGAGCACAAGTAAAAGAGAAAATACAAATATAAGCGACCATCACCAACAAAAAGTGGGGAAATAAGAAAAAGAAAAAGAAAAAACGATATAGCATGCCATTATCAGATGAATGAACTAATGGTAAATGCTATGGGTACTACTCATTCTCAGAACCATGTACAAAGAAGAGTTAATTGTGGATAGACCCCCTGTACTACTGGTGTAATGACCGTAAATTTTAATACTGTTTTAAATAATTTTCTGGTATTTAAATATTAAATATTATTTTTTAAAAGAATATTTGTATTTTTCCCAATTTTCTACGATTTAAAAAAAAAACGGTATTATAATATTTTAATGGTTTTGCTAATTATAAATTTAGTTGTTCGGTAAAACTTTTTAAATTAATAGTTAATTATTCATTATTGTTATTATTATTATTTTGACCATAAATTTTTAATATTTATTTGAATAATTTTTCTTGTATATTTTTTATATAGGGGTATTTTCCCTGCGTTTTCCCTCTCACCGGTATATCACTCTGTATCTCTCTCTTCATCTCTCTCTTCTACCCCACTTCCCCTAAATCACTCCTTAATTTCCTCCTCATTTCTCGCAATTCCCTCCTCGTGTTTCCCCCTGATTCCCTCAAAACCCACGTGATTCTCTCTCTCCCCTCAAAAGAAATAGAAATGTTAGGGGCACACCCCCAACCACAATCTCAACCACACATTCTCTCCCTCTATAGTGCATTAGGCCCCACATCAAATTTTTTTAAAAAAATTTGATGTGGGGCCAAATGCACTATAGAGGGAGAGGATGTGTGGTTGAGATTGTGGTTGGGGTGTGCCCCTAACACCACTCCAAAAGAAATCCCACTCTCATTCTCTCTCTCCTCTATTATTCATCAGCCCACCCTCTCTCTCACTCACCCACGTTCTCTCATTCTCACTCAGTCTCTCTCTCTCCCACGTTTCTCTCTCCCTCTCTCTCATTTTCTTCTCTTTCCTCACAAGAGAACCCACACCACCGTTTCGCCTCATCTCCTCGATCGTTCCTCTCGTTCCTCTCCATCACGAACCCATCTCCACCCTCCGTCCAAGCGCTCCACCGCCCGTCGAGCAATACGCAGTCGCCGCAAACCCGACCTCCCTCTCCCTTTTCTCAACCGCTGATGCCCCCTCTTCGGCTGG